GGGGGGGGGGGGCTGGCCTACGCCCCTGATTATATAGCACTATTGGTAAACTAATAGGGTAGCTGTGGATAGACTTCTTTCATGGAACAAACATCGCGGATATTTCTGCCTTAGCGATTTTAATACGACGTTACTTAGAAAAATAAAATCACATGGCGACATCACGATGCATAAGTAGATTTAACAATGGAAAATGTTTTAATTCGGTTTTGTTAGCACACGAAAATAGATTCGGTAATACAATTTTTTGGTAGCGTTGCCCCACAATTTTAATTGGCCGCGTTCATTATGCACTAAAAATAGTTACAGGGAAGAAGACAAAATTTCATAGATACGGAGGTTAATTCAATTTCATGCGAGTGACGTGGTCAATACTATGATCACAAACATTTGTTTGCCAATAATAATCTCGTAGAATGTTTTTTAGCTTTATCATTGTAAAATCATTCTCAATTATTAGGGATTATAGAGCAGAAGGACTACATATGCAGTTTCCGTTTTCAGCGTTTAAGCCTGGTCTAAGGGATATATATATAAGTGCCGGCTTTTTAAGCCGAAGATTGCGGGCTCGGGTCCCGTCGGAGGTATCCCACCGGGCACACGACGTTGTTTGAACGTTGAAATTTGGTAGAAAAAAGGTTGCGACGTCGACAACCTAATATCTACGTTGCTCTGACGTTGTTTTACAAACATTGGTTCAACAGCAGCCAACAGACGTTGAATTAACGTTCATTCATGGTTAAATGTACGACGTCGATTTTGTGAACCAATGTCAACGTTGTTTTAACGTGGATTCAACGTTGAATTATGGTTGACGAGATTGGCAACCTAATTTCAACGTTGTTTCAACGTCGAAACAGTAACGTGGATCCAATTTGCATAGTCAACCCTTTTTCAACGTCTATCCCACGTCTGGAAGGTCATTTCCAACGTTGATTCAACGTTGGATAAACGTCATTTTGCCCGCTGGGATCTTAACGACAAATAAGTAGATTCGAAAATGGCAAAATGTTTGAATACCGTCATTCTAGTCGGTTTTGTTAGCGCACAAAATGTGTGGCCATTTACCTGTGGTATCTGGCAACAGGAGAAGATCTCTACTCCTTATAGGTTGGAGATTTGATGTGGCAAAGAGTACAGCCTGTGAAATTGTAAACGAAGTTGACCTGCCAATCGTTAGTATTCTCTTGCTGCGATGTATCACATGGGCAACGGAAAATGTCTTCTACACGCTTTTGTTTTCACATGCATTTCCATCAACTAAAAGTGCCTCGACAACAACATGGCTGCTGTGTTTTTCAGTTCGCTTTTCCCGCGCTTGGTTTCAAGTGGTACGAAGTCACGAACATGCCTTGACCACCTTGGCTGATTTAATTCTCTTCGTTTTGTGCGTTCATGACATTATAATGCGAACTAAACTAATCCGATCCGTGACCACCTCTGAAAGTGGTCCACTTTAGCTCGGATCGAGATCCATCTTGGCTCGCAAGCGACCATTCACACTTTCTTCTTTCGGACTCGAATCGATTTCGGATCGAATTAAAAAGGCTAGTGTAAGCGGGTCCTAAATCAGGATATCTATCAGAACTGTCAACGTAAGCCTTCGTGGCCTAATGGATAAGGCGTCGGCCTCTTAAGCCGAAGATTGCGGGTTCGAGTCCCGTCGGAGGTAACATAACGACACATCGATAGATTTGAGTCCTGTTGGAGGTAAATTCGTTGAAGTAAGCTTTTAGTAAGATACGAAAATAGATTCGACAACACAATATTATTATTAGCTCGGTCCAAACAATTTTAAATGGCCGCCGATTATTATGCACTAAAAATAGTTGGAAGGAAGAACAAAATTTCATAGATACGGTGGTTAATTCAATTTCATGCGAGTGACGTGGTCAATACTATGATCACAAACATTTGTTTGCCAATAATAAACTCGTATAATGTTTTTTAGTTTTCATCATTGTAAAATCCCTGTCAGTTATTAGGGATTATAAAGCCGAAGGACTACATATGCAGTTTTCAATGTATAAGAATTCGCGGGCTAGCGGATAAGGTGTAGGCTTCCCAAGGCGAAAATTCCGGGGTCGAATCACGTCAAAGATGAATTCGATTGTTTGTAATGGCACGAACATAGACCTGACAATGACGTAACCTTCATAAAAAGGGTGCCAAGGATTCAAATCATTATAGTGACACTACCTGTAGCGCGTTTGCACTCATTCCCCAGGGACAAACTCAGCAAGAGCCAGTGCGGCCGTGTTGGTGTTCCAGACAAAAAAATCATCAAATTATAATTCTTGTGAATTGGAATACCAACATGGCTCCTGTGACGTCATGTGCAAACGCTCTCTATCTATAAACCAGGCAGCCGAAGAAGAACACCAAATAGGAAAGAAAACTGAAGCCACAAAAAGAAAACTGGGAAGATTTTGGTTTCGATTCCTGTCGCAGGCTAATTCGGCGTTATGACATGACATGAAAATATATTTGACAATGCCAATGGATAAATTATTGAACTTTCTTTCTAAACCGTAGAGGAAAGAAAACTAATGTCAACGCACAGAAGCCAAAAAGCCGCGAATTTCGAATATTTGACAATGGGCAACGTGTCAAATAAATAGTGTGAGTCTAACATTTTGCCTATCGCTTTCCCTGAAAACGGTAAATCAGGAGATCTACCTGAACCCCTAACGTAAGCCTTCGTGGCCTAATGGATAAGGCGTCGGCCTCCTAAGCCGAAGATTGCGGGTTCGAGTCCCGTCGGAGGTAACGTAACTACACATAAATAGATTTGAACATGTCAAATTCTTTTCACAATATAAGTCCAGTCGAACGTAAATTCGTTGAAGTAAATGTTTTGTTGGGACACGAAAACCAAGTTTTTATTAAAAATGGTTAATAAACAAACTAGGTAAATAAACAAAATTTCTTAGATACGCAATTAAATTCATTTTAATGGGGTAAAGAGTAAAATATTATATAATGCTTCCAGTTATTCGGGATTCTAAGCAGAAGAGCTATAATTGTTTTCAACTCATTCCTTCGTCCCCTAACGGATTAGCCGTCGGATTAGTCTTAGCCGGCGATTGCGGGTTCGACTCCCACTACAAACCGTCGGTTGTAAGGAGTCAAATTTATAGACACGAACGTTGGTTTGCCTACAATAAATTCGTAGAAAGTTTTGGAATTTTAGTAATTGCTTAGAATACTTCTCGGTTATTTGAGAGTACAAGGAAAACTTACTTTTCCAGTTTCAAATGTATAGGCTTTCGTAGCCCAAAAGCGAATTCCCATTCAGTGCAAAATGTGGCACATCGATTCTTTGTGATCTCTTTTTTTTAAATCTGGGCAGACAACTACAGCTAAGAAAATTTGTTCCGCTTGACTGTTGTGTAACTCATATTGCCCGAACCCACGGCGCGGAATGTCGTTCCAAACGTAAACCCAACCTCGCAAGCCAGGGTCTTTTACCTACGCTCGGGCTCCGGCGAAGACCCTGGTTCCCTCTGGTCACGTGACCTCCTAAAAGTTAGGACAACAAGAGGTCCTAGGGGAGGGTGGTTGAAATGTGATATGTTGTAATTTATAATTTCCAACTTCCGGTTAAATGTTGTGTTTGCAAGGCCCGCTGAGGAGTGACTGTAGAAAAGCTACGAGAAGTGACTTCAACTGTAATATGCAAAACCATTCAAAATTCATTATTTTTCTTATTTGTTTGCCGTGTTCTATTATAAATATTTTGAATGCAAACACTATTTTGAAGCCCAAGCACTTATAACGCTAAAAGAGCGTTAGAAGAACGTCCAACTCATGGCGTTTGTGTAAATGAGTAATGCTGCTCGTTACTGACATATCGCCAACGTGCCTTTGATAAACAATCCAGCTCGAAAATTATGTGTGATAAAACTCAGAGTATCAGCAATAAATGGTTTTCAGCAGCCATTAAAATGTGACAACGAAGAGTTGATGCGATGGCCAAAAGACAAAACTAAATCTACTTGTTATTTTTCAATCATCCATTCAGATATTGTTATCTCAATTTTGTTCACTTTAGGCCAAACGTAGTATATTAATTGTGCTGTATTTTATAACGTACCAGTCGTTATTGCATAACTGCTACAGCATATAAACTTGACCGAAGGCACATAAAAGCGGAATCGCTTGGCTTGCATAACTGCTTTGAGTTGGTTGCAAATTCTGACCGAAAGATATGATGAGATCTTTTACGAAAAGGCATTCAGATACAGGCACTGATATTGATGCCTTGGAGGACATTTGCAACCCAATTTATGCTGTAGTGTATGCAAAACACAATGTTTATGCGTTGAGTGTAGTTTAGATATGGAAAGGGAATGATTTTACCTGATTAGTCAAATATTTTGCGCCTGTGAAATATTCTTGACTTTGTACCAAATAAATAAACAATTAATCACAAATTGAAATAATATAAACTCAATTCACTTCATGGACAGTACAAAAACCCATACAGCCAGTGCCTGAACAAAATTCTAAAATATACAGTATACTGTAACCATATAGCTATTTCAATTAAAGTTGACATAGAGACAATAGTCAGACAATAGTCAGATGTACAATAATATGAGTGCTATATAAATGAATAATGTGAATAATGATAGTTCTCAATAAGTTTAACACCTAAAATATATTTTGAATACCAATTTAATTTGTATTACCATGAGGCTATTGATGTGTTAAACAAAATGTGATATTTTTAGCGTTCAATTGTACATTTAACTATTGTTTGTGACACTAACCTTAATTGCAGGAATAGCTGCATTATAATATAGAACAAGTGCAAATTGCATGTGCATCTGTTAATCCTTTCAAGCTAGGGTATATATATATAGTCTTGGTAGCCTGTGCTGAAGCCATACAAATCATTGTTGCTTATTCGTGCAAGTGCATGTTACAGTATTCACAGTCATAATTCCTCTTCATCTTCTGATGTGTCCACTGGTAAGTGCTTGGTGATTGTTCCTCTTGCGTTTGTTTAGCTAGACGTCATCAAATGCAGCGACAATTTGTCTATAATGTTGCTAATGTATCTGATGATATATCTGCGAAGAAACCTTCGTGAAAGTGATCATATATTGTTGATTGCAAATGTTTTCAATTCCAAGAGATGAGATAAAATAACATTTTCTCTGAAGATTTGTGCTTGTGAGAGGATGACTTAATTCCTACAGCTATCTCGAAGTTATTTATCATTTCTGCAGATATCCCTCCAGTCGCTCTACTTTAATATTAAATAAACATTCGATTGACTTTACTGTCTTGGGTGTTTTTTGGCCATCATTCTTTTAATTTAATGTTAATTTAGGAAGATTAGAAAATCCGTCATTGATCATCACACACAAGAGTTTCACAATTCACAAATTCTGCGATACGAAGCAGGTTTTTATTTCGCTATTCAGCTAGACCTCTAAGAATAGGTTCGGTTATTAACTTCTTGTCGATAATACTACCACAAAGGTGACACTTGCATTCCGAAAACAAAGCGGACTTCGGATAAATCATCTTTGGAGTTTCCTTTCGCTGTGCCATAGTGTTGAGAGCTACTGAATACTGTACTTTGACTTTGTATAAGTGTGCATGCATTCGACCTTTATTTTCTTTGCGTTCCTAAATAATGGCTCCACTTCAAGGTGTAAAACAGACCTCCAGCCATGCAAATTATATCAAGTAGGTGTAAAAAGCTTTTAAGCCGTGACATATTTCATACAAGGTAACACAAAAACCGACAAAACCCAAAATATGGGTTAATACAGAGCGTAAATGGCCGTATTTTCCATATAGGCATAGTTACAGATTTTTTCGTTTTCGCTCTTGAATTCCTCTTACCACTCCTCCCTAAGTGGCAAAGAGGCGCCAATTCGAATTACCCCTAAAATCTGGGGGTTCACGTGACCAGAGGGAACCAGGGTCTTCGCCGGAGCCCGAGCGTAGGTAAAAGACCCTGGCTTGCGAGGTTGACGTAAACCCGGGGCGAGGGTACTAATTCGGCCTGGCCATTTACCTCGAGGAAAGGAAAGCATTAGCGAAGTCTCAAGTTTGTCAATAATCATGGCTATGTTTCACCGTGCGTGGTCAACCTCGTGCCCACGGCATTTTGCATTCATGGTTACAGAAGTCGGCGAAAGCTTGGCGTGGGATTGGGCAAAAACATCGGAACTGTAGTCGTGGAAGGCGATATGTCAGATATTTTATGGACAATTGCCAAAAAAGTCAATCTAAAATTTGCCCCTAAAATGATTAGAATTCAGTTTCATGTCTCTCTACAGTTTGTTCTGCAACATTATTTGGTTTCATGAACAGGTGACTTCTCCGTTTTAATATCTTTTTTCTCTCGTTTTGTAAGGTTATATTTTTCCAGAAAAAGATAAGGCAGTTAAATGTTGAGTTCATGCTGACAAGTTTGCTTGACCAGAGGCCCCAACCTAGAACAACGTCGGAGCTTAGTAGAGATTTGGAGACCAGGAGTACGCAGTTGTGCTGCAGACCAGGGCAGCAGCAGAGGAAGAAACACAGCGCAGCAAGAAGACACGTAGAGATGCTTTTAAAGTTAATTTGCTTTCTAGTGCGGAGATGGTAGCAGGATAGTCTCTGTTGCCCTGTCCTAGAGAAGCAGCTACACGATTATCATCTTCTCGTATTCGTCTTGCTATAATAAAATCTTGTAGTTTACGAAAAACAATACAAAAAACATGATTCCAAGAAAACATGCTGGCGCCACCTGAGCAGGGAAGACGAAATCTGTATAAGATAAAGTAAATTGAACTAAACCTAATACTTCAAGAACAAAAAGTAGGGCAACAAGTCGCTTTCCTGTGAGAGATCGTTGATGAAAGTACGGATAAGTTAAAGCTACATAACGTTCGACGTTCATTATCAGCAATGTGTCTAAGGATGACCCGTAAAATATGGCGCATATTCAAATTGATTGTGTGAAATATTTCATATTCCATGATACACCATGAGATGGTTGACAAAATTATCAAAGGATGTGTGATGATAATCACAGCAAAGTCAAAACAAGCGAGCTACGAGGATCATAAAATAAGATAATTTATTTCGTAGCTGACCAGATCTCCAGAAGCATAATATGACTGTTGAGTTCAGAAATATTCCCGTTAACATGAAAATTGTATTTACAGTACAGAGTAAAATTGTGTTGAGTAAAATGACCAGTTCCATCTTTGCCTTTCCTTTTCGTCTCAGAGATGAAGCCTTTATTAATTTATCATTATAGTTCGTTTAACAATTATGCATACATTATCAGAACGCGGCACCGCTCGTTTCTGTTGTAAGGCCTGTTTCATACGTCGAATTTAATTGAGACGAATTTAATTCGTTATTAAATTCGTCCATTGGTCGACATTAAAATGGTTTCGTTTCAAACGACGAATTTTATTCAGACGAATTTAATTAATTAAAAAAAACAATATGGCGCGTGATGGCGCGCTATTCTGACAAATCAATACAAGGTTTTATGACAGTTATTCTCAATAAAATAAGAAAAGAGAGACAAAGAAGCCAAAGAATTCGTCGAGCTGTTCTGATTTTATTTATTGTCAGGTTAAAGTTTCTGATTCTTACACGTTCTATATTGTCTTTATTATTGGCAAATCTCTGCCGAAGAAAACCTGTGCAAAGTTCTTGTCGTCGCCTTCTTAGAAACGAGGGCTGGTGGGATTTGATTTACCTTGGAAGCGACGACAGGTTTAAAAAGACTTTCCGGGTGATTCGTGTAACATTTAACAATAATATTAAACAGTATTCGCGAAGACATTGTAAAGGATATTGTTGCAGAGGTTCCAATATCACCTGAATGTAGACTAGCAATTTGTTTGCATAGATTAGGAAGGGGAGATTATCTGTACACGATTGCAGAATTATTTGGGATAGGAGTTTCAACTGTACAATGTATTGTTTCTGAAGTCTGTCGTGCAATTGTTAAAAACCTATGGAAATCAGCAGTCATGGACACTTTTAGATAAATGCAAAAATCATTGATATGGAACAGTTGTGGCAATTCCCATGCGCTTGGGGGGCTGTTGATGGCTGCCATTTACCGATAGTCTGCCCAAGCGGTGGTCAGGAAGCAAGAAAAGAATACCATAATTTTAAGAATTTTTACTCCATTGTGATGATGGCAATTGTAGATGCAAAGGATCGGTTTGTATGGGCCAGCATTGGCTTCCCAGGGAATTCTCATGATTCAGTAATTTTGCAGTCCACACAGTTGTGGACTGATATTACTCAAAACAATATCATACCTTCCATAGGGAAAAACATTGAAAAACTTATTGTGAATCCGTTCATTCTTGGTGATTCTGCTTTTCCGTTTCGCATTTGGCTGATGAAACCATATGGTCATGCTACACTTAGCCCTAAAGAGAGCAATTTTAATTATCGTCTCAGTAGGGCACGAATGGTCACAGAAAGAGCATTTGGCCAGCTGAAAAGCAGGTGGAGAATTTTACACCGCAGATCAGAATGTGAGCCAGAAAGTGTGAAGGAAACGGCACTTACATGTGTTGTTCTTCACAATCTTTGCATTGCTAATGGTGATAATCTTCCTTAGCATGTTGATCTTCTTTGTAATTATCCAAAAAATCAAAGAAATCGAGAGAAAGTACGAAAGTTATTGAAAATGAGAAGCTGTGCCAGAACAAAAGATTCCTCTAAAGCAGCAGAGGCTATTAAAGCTGCACTTGCAGAAAAACTTTGGAAAGAGAAGGAAGGGGGAGGAGTAGTGTGAAGCAAATTGAGTACATTTAGGGATTGGTCAATATTTATGGAATGGGGAGAGGGGGAATATTTTCATTCCTTTTAAAATTGAAATCCCTCTCTGAAAGAGCAGAAATTCAATGGTGCCCCCCCCCTCATATTAAAACATTTTCTCATTGACCCCTCCCTAGCTATCCCATCTTTTATAAACCAATACTCTCAAAGACAAGGTATTTTAACCATACAACACCTGTGATATCACTTTAGTTCTTTACTTTGGCTAATGCCAGATATATTTAATATTAAGCCAGGTTCCCATTTGGTATAGGCAGTTGTAATCATGTGAAAATAGCTGCAGATGTAACAATACATTGTTGATTTTATCTCTACATTGCATACAGCTTACAAGATATATCAACACTATTTCACATAGGTAACCATTATTTAGTCGCAACATTTACAACCAAATGGAAACTAGGCTTAAGTAAATTCCTTCAAATTTAATTGCAACCCCACATTTTTGATACCCCCTTTTTTAAAAAAAATATCTCCCCCCTCTTCTAGTTATATAGCCCCTAATCCCCCCCCCCCCTCCCTAATTAATGAATCAGTCCTTTGGGACAATTGAGCATTAATTAATCTACTTTACATTTTATTACAATATGTTAAACCCTTATTTGGCGGCAGTTGCAATCGTTACTGAAAATAGTCTTATTGTTGAATATTTCAATAAAGAATTTTGTTGTATGATGGTTACCCTGATTATTATTACTCGTACTGCATATTAGGAAGTACACATTGTAACAGCACAGTCATGGTAAGTATATTAAACCATTAGTGCATAATACAACCTCATTTACATATGCTGTATAAATGTATTCTAAATTCACCTTGAAATGAAGTTGCCCTTGATTGTGGTTTTTCATGTGTGCACATTGTAGTTTTGTGTCAACTTAAAGTTGCATTGCACCCTAATGCATCCCACTTTATTATTTTACTCTGTCTAATGACAGATGATCTTACTACTCAAGTGGAGAGTGCTGGCACTCAATGGGTTAATGAGCTATAAATAACCCACTGAGTGGCAGCATTCTACCATTGATGAGTAAAGTCATCTGGCGTTAGACAGTAAAATAATAAAGTAGGGCAAATCAGGGTGCATTGCGGCTTAAAAGGTTAACAGGATGCATGGGCTGATTAACCCATTGAGTGGCAGCACTCTCGCCTTGATGAGTCATGGCATTAGACAGATTAAAATAGTAAAGTAGGGCACATTAGGGTGCATTGGCACTTAAATAAATAAGAGTTAAATTATATTATTTGAGAAATATGAATAAAATCTACCATTTAATTCAACAATCAATTTAAATAACACAACTATTACTGTTGATACCCAATTCAATTTAGGTTGTCCTTTATAAGCAAAGATAAAATAAAGAGTAGTTTTAATTCAGCTAGGAGTTGATAAAATTTCATTATTAAAGATATTTAGTTCAACTTTTAATAATTCATTAAGCCTCTCAAACTGTAATTGTGTTAATCTTATTGAGGACAACCTTGGCTAAATTAGGTATATATACTGTATATATCTATACTTTTTTTATTGATGTCTGTACATCTCCCTCAACTAAATATTTTTAATAGCTTTCTGGATATAAAATAACCAAATATATGCAACAATATCAACAGGAACTTTAAAATTAATGTACTTGTATGTCACTAATTATCAGTGATGCTGTCATTTTGAACAATTGTGCCACAATTATTGTCTTCCAATTCAGATGTAGCTAGTAACAGTTTGGAATGTATGTGTGCCTCGAGAAGTTGGTTGAGGAAACAATATGTGTGACTGCTGTGAGGGATAGACACTTTGAGCATTGGGTTGAGAAAATGGCAAGTGTGATTGTTGCGGAGGGTAAACATGATCAGCATCAAGTTGAGAAAATGGCAATGGTGATTGTTGTGGGTGGTAGACACTTTGAGCAGTGCGTTGAGGAAATTGGATGTGAGATTGTTGTGGGGGGTAGACACCTTGGACATTATGTTGAGGAAATGGCATATGTGACTGTTGTTGTGCATGTATACCTTGTGCATTACTATAAGGATTACTAGTGAATGGCACCTGCTGGCATTGGTTCGATCGTATCAAACCACACAACAAGTCGAACTGCTTCATTTCTTGCTCTCTTGAATGCTGCATGTCATCTTTGAGAATTTGCAGCAATTCTTTAGTTGGATCATTCTTAATTGTACTTTGCAATAATTCAAGAGAGCTGGCGATAACATCAGTTTTTGGTCGCTTAGCAGAATTTTTTTTCACAGGCACAAACATTTCCTTGTCTCCATAAACCTTGCTAGCAGAATCCTCAGACCCACCCTCTTTACCATCATCAAGTTTAGCAGAAGGTTCTATGGCATTTTCTGGTTTACAAGAGTCCCTTGTCTTAACGAGGGGATACAGTACATTAAACCAGTTCCCATATCCTTTGCTCTCAAAGAAACATTTAACTCCTGATGCTGATTTGATTGTTAGACAAATTTTCTTGCAAGTGCTTATGCACCATTTGAATTTATTCCTCATCTGTTGCACTGTAAAGGGGAAATCTTTTCCAAATGCATCCTGATATTTCTGGTTTAACTTAGGCAAAATTTTTTGGTAAGCATCGCTATTTTTTCTTTTTTTCACATTGGTAAATACAAGTTTACGTACCAGCTCATCGTCGTTTACAATCATGTCCACCATATCCGTGATCTGACTATCCTGCCACATCGCTTTTCTGCCAGATTTCCTTCTAGGTTTGATAGGTTTGACACTCCTGCCCGATTGACTATCAGAGTCACTATCGCTTGTTTCACCTTCTGTTCCTGACTCGCCATTTCCATTTAAACTAAACGGGCTTAGTGATCGTGGGGTAGAGGTCGTAGAACTGCTTGAACATTTAGATTCTCTGTAATCACTTTCTTTGTTACTTGAATCCTGGTCAAAGTGATCAGGTTCGAGGTCAGGTTTACAAAACATACAGTAGGAAACACTCTTGAATTCTTGCCAACCAGGTACATATTCGTTTGGTTCAGCAACAGAGCATTGCGGACGTAAACATACATATTTAACACATGAAATACAATCATATTTCGTTATTTCACCACAATTTTTACATGAATTCATTGTTCTTTTGGTGCACTACAATATATTTCGCGCATTAATTTCCCGCCCGAATGAGGAAAATCACGTACTACGCATGTCCAGTAAGTAGAAGTCGCTAAAATATGAACTAGAGGGCACTCAGAGACTGCATACCTCCGCCCGTTACTCGGAAGTGAAACGCAACCTTGGAATTTCCTAAGAAATCCACTTTATAATTCTTAAGCATAAAAGATTTCAGGCCCCCGCGAATTGAAATCGAATTGCTAATAGAACATATTACTGTTGTTGTACTGTACAGTACTTGTAAAATAAAAACTTATTAAGTGTCATTAAATAAATGCATAAATTTTGCTTTATGCACTCGCGCGTGCAGTAATTTTCACAGTTGTGCTATTTTAAATTCCCAGGCAGCTAAAATCTTTTGTCTTTAAAACAATGTCGATTTCTTGGGAAATTCCGAGGTTGCGTTCTTTTTATACACCCTGTATTGAAGTAATCTAATGTTGTTAGAATTTGAATGGACTGGCACTTTGCTGAACGTAATAATGCGTAACTCCGTAAGCCTTGCTTTAGACATTGAATTTCGGTCGCGTGAAATGCAACTAAGACAATAGATAATGAAGGCCGAAGCTTAATGAGGTTTATCATCTCATTACTGTCTTAGCACTGAATGCATAAATTATACACGTCCTAATTACGCATTCAGTAATATATTTTGTTAATTGACCGGGAAAAGCAAGACAAAATTTTGTTCATTTCTCGTTCAATTTTTAACCAAATTCAACCAAATTTTAATCAGTTCTTCCTTAGCCGATGGGAAATGCATTCAAAAAATTTCGTACGGATATGTTTGGTATTTCTTGAGTTATCGTGCTCACAGACAAACACACACACACACACACACACACACACACATACACACACACATACAAACCCAGATGATTACATAACCTCCTGGCGGAGGTAACTACGTGCTCGGAAATATAAGTTAACATAATTTTTGCATTTAATTCGACGCGACGATACGACGTCGTATGAAACGAAGACGCGCTACAGACGTTGTATCCGTCTGACTATGACGGATAAAACGTCTTGGACGAATTTAATTCATCAGACGGATTTAATTCGTTTCATACGATGCACTACCGTCGCATTTAATTGGATCAATTAAATTCGTCTGAATTAAATTCGACGATAGTGCGACGTATGAAACGGGCCTAACATTTGTGCTATTTGAATAATTATGTCAAGAAGAGATTATGTTACATACATCTTGGCTTGTGTTGCGGAAAACAAACTTATTATGGCAAATTAAAGTTTTCAATCCGTCAGCCCAAGATCTTCGCAAGTGTTCGCACTGATGATGGACTTACGGATCGAAAACTTTGCCATAATAAGCAAATAAGAAATACACGTGATGTTTTCCACAAGCTCTATATTGAAAGTTATATAGTAAGAATAAATTATCTTTTGCATTGTTTTTGTTTACAATGAAGCCGTTTATTATTTATGATTATTAAAGTAGGCCTAAAGTGCTTTATAGAGACTTCGAGCGCTGATAAAACAGATAATCTCACATGTGAAATTATTGATGATTTCACATGTGAAAATTATCGCTTTTCTACAAAAATTACCGCTCTTCAAAGACTGTCCTTTATACAGGGTGTATAAAAAAAGTAAGACAATTTTGAAATTGCTCTCAATTCCACAATTCTGTTCATGAAATGTAATTTTTTATATGTATGGATTGCTTGAGTTCTTAAATTATGGAAAATATAAAAAAATTTGAAAATAGTAAGTTTTGCTATCCAGGAGGGTGGTCAACTTTTGCTCTCCTGAAAGTGGCTTGCGCATGGAAATGACAAACGGTATTCTTCATTTGAGTTCATGTATGAAAAGTTCGCTATTTGTTGCATTGTTACGGCAATAAAATGTCTAAAGCAATAACACAGAATCGAAACGAATCAGAATTGAACGGTAAACGAGACGAAATTAGCAGATCTACAGAAGAATTAAACAGCATAGAGGGAGATCTAAACCTAACTGAATCCGAATTCAACCAGAACAATTCGCTTGTTAATCTCACGAAGCCATCAAGTGATAGCGAACTAATTGAGAGCAGCATTTTAATGATAGCCAATGGCAATTTGAAATGGCAAAAAAATTTCGAAGAGCTTCGTCTAGCTGTTGACCGACTACAACTACAATCTAGTAAAGGGTGGACAAGCCCGGGAGGTTACTGTAAACTGTTCGAAAGCGGGGAAGTCTCGATACGTTGGTATTCGAATAGTAAAACTTTGACGGTGAAGGGGGAAAAGGCCGACGAAATAAAAGAAAAACTATTAAATTTCGACCGCAAATTGAGCGGTGAAGTCAAAGTATATTCGGAGAGTCCAAAGGTTGCAAATATTTTGGAGTCAACAGATAGAAATTTGCATTTCAGGTCACGAAACTGTAGCGTGAACAATGAAATGACTCGGACAAATGGTCAAAGTTACTCAACCAACACAAACGACGCAAACTACAATAAATCCACAGAATTTTACGAAATAAACTCTAAGTTGGAAAATTATTCACAAAATGTTACTAGAAAGCTAGATGCTCTAGCGGAAGAAATTTCAACGATAAAGGAGAATAAAGAAAATGCTGCTTACGGTATACTGATACTTGAAGAAACTGTTAATGACCTTAAGAAGGAAAAGTATGAACTTAACAGAGAGAATGAGGACTTAAGGAGGCTCCCTACAGTTGCGTGCGGGATGTTCGCGGGACCAGTACGTGAACTATCCCACGCAACCGCATGATCAAAACAAAACAAAATATTTTTTTTTTAAAAAAGCTATTTCTGAAAGGTTTCTAATGGGGAAAAAGCGTTGAATAATACTTCGTTTTGAGTGCCAAATTACTTGCGAGTCTATACAGCAATTCTACATATGATACGAATACCACTAGACCAAAAATAGCTACGAAACAATGTTTTTTAATGTTTTTAAAATATACATTGTCAACTGTAAAACATTTGCAAAATTGCATACAAACGTTTAAAAAGTTATTTACTTCTCAAGAAAACGTTCACGTTTTTAGTCGCGTTTCTACAAGATTAGAGTGATTATATGTAAACAGAAAAATATTTCAGTTTCATAGCCTAATTGTTCATTTTTAGCAAAAAGTACAAAACCAAACATGAAACAAAAAAACACGTCCACCTGTTAACAGGCTGTTACAGCTCATAGATTGAGTAAACGGCAGGATTCAATTAGCTTCAACCTTGTTTTCATCGATTTAATCCTTCACAATAATCCTTGGCTGTCCGTAGCACTCAAATAAATCGAAAAGTTGACAAAAACAAAACAGTAAAAACATTGCGGCTCGATTTTGCTGAATGAAAACTCGTTCTGCGCCCGCGTACAATCTTTTACTAGTCAGCGACGCTTTTCAATAGGGGAATTTCTCTAGTTACACGAGGCTATTTTCTAACTTTATTTGCATTTTACTCATTAGTTTCGTCGGTGACCTATCTTCAAATTTTAACCACGAATTTATTTTGCGGTAAATTTTATAAATTTCAAATTTTAAAAAAATTTGTAGTGTGGAAATTTCGCAATAAATTTTTCGCTTTTAAAAAAATCACACACTACAGAATTTTTTTAAACTTTCACCACAGTTGCAGAGCATCATTCCTTATTGATATATGAAATAAAAAAGATAGGTCACCGACATCGTTTTTGAGATAGCGGCACATTTATGGGTTAAATTGGAAGGCTTTATGCTGTCGTCATGTTGCCATGGGAACACTGACATCGTCGAAATCTAGTTCGAAATATTCCTTAGGTGACCAATATTACCACCAAGTCGAAAAGAATTCGCGTTCTGCACGAATAAGCCTGTTTTACGGAATTGTTGCTTAAACAAGAATAACTGTAGGGAGCCACCTTAAAGGAGAAAAACAAGAACTTATTTCAATCTCTGTCTGAAGTAAGAGCTAAGGTTATAGAACTTCAGGACGAAAAATCGAATCTCATAACTGCCCTGAAGCTAATTCAGCGAGAATCAGTATCACTAGCAGAAAAAAAAAAAATTGAAGACCTGGAATCTGAGAACAAGAATCTAAGAGCTGCCGCAAGAACACTACAAGAAGACCTTGATAAGAGCAATAGAGAAAAGCGAGAATTCACAAAAGCTAAAAAACGTAGCGAAAATGTATCCATAACACCAAATACGACTATATCATATGAGTCAAAGAACCAGTTCGAAGTTCTCAGCGTTAGTGACCACGAAGAAGAAGTAAACAAATCTGCATCAGATCTGGATCAATCAGAGGCTAGACATCATAACACAGATATATCAGCCAAACACGGAGATAAGCCAAGTCAAAGCGGAGACAAACCAAACCAACGCCGAAGCGGGCAAAATAGTCAAAAGATCGAAAGACGCCAGCAATCCAAAGCAGGGGCGGATCTAGGATTTTTCGTACCTCAGCCAATTTTTTTGGTGGACGGGGCGTTATTGGCGCTGGGCGTGGTCTCGACTGGGCGTAGTCGACTCCAGACGGGGGGGAGTGGGCGCTAAATAATTTTTATGTTGATAGTCCGCCACTGGATTTTTAGAATTTTCCGTACATAAAATGCGATTTGGTCCCCCCCCCACACACCTATTAACTTAAATCCTAATTAATCAAATTAGAAAACTTATTTAGATTAAATTGATAAACTCAAACGAACATTTGATTCTTATCCACAGGCACAGAAAGAACAACTACAAATGCACAAAGATATATTGATGATAATACTTTAAAACTCAGCAGCAATTTAACATGTTTTCCTGTGGATTAAGAATCGTCGTCATATTGGTACTCTACGCTTATAAGTGTATCATTGTAAAACTTCTAAAATCATATGGCAGCAAATGCATTAAGGAAATATACTGTTCTGTTACCAAAAACACAGAACTATACATAACAAGTAATTGCCAGTAGCCTGAGCTCCAAAAGAAAACAACCATATATTCATTAACTAAGTCAAAAATGTTAAGTCAAATATTAATAAACTAAACTCTCCTACTATTAATAAAGTCTTACTGTGGTCTATATATTGAACACAAAATATACTATTAATAAACTAGTAACATCAGAATGGCTACCAGTCAAAGAGCTTTTCAAGCTACCTACAATTAAATATTTCACATCATCATGTTACATCAGACGTCGACCAATGCGGTCTAACAAGCCATGTCGATAGGCTATGGATAAACAATACACGTATACGCGTTACGCGTACATGTTGTGTGATTAATGCATAAATATAAAGAAATTTTAAATAAAACTTCACTAACATAAGAATCAACAAATGCTTACAATGTAGACATTGAATATTAACATATTTTAGCTTCTTGACGCGAGAATTATGCTAATACAGCAATACAGCATAGCGAATATATTAAAATATCATATGTCAGACAATCATTAACAACACCGATGGCTTGCTACTCCGGTTTATAAACCTTTAATATGAACTAAAGATACATCACTATAAAACCATAAATTTATCTACCTTATTGCAGTACAAGCTTTGTCTTTCTCTAGCAGTAGCTCTCTGCGCCAAAATTTCTAGCGAGGCTTCTGCTTGTGTTGTTGATGGCGCCGTTCAGTAGCTTGTCAACAAAATTCGTCCGTGAGGCATCGATATTCTTTTCAAGCTCCGTATACAAACGTTGTATAGAGATTCCAAATTGTTTGCCGCAATCGCAAACTGAACATTGTCAAAAAATGTTTCCAGATATCGCTGGTAGAAATCGCTCGTAATAGTAAACGTTCGAAATAGTAAACACTCAGAGATAAACACTAATGCGGTGTTGACAAATACCTCACGTTGCGAATCCGTCGAAAATATAAACCAATGACAGTGCAGAATTTCTTTAAATGGTTCAATCAGAAGGCTCATACTGAGCCCCTGAATCTGCAAATCCGTCAGGCCTCCCTACAGATCCGTCGCAAATGGCCGTAACCATGGAAATGAGCATGTCAGCCAATCAGATAGCCGGATTTGACCCCCGAATCCGTCAACTTTCATGCGTAAGACCGCTGTTCGTGACTGACTAACATTACTTTGCCGAAGCTCTGCCGCAGCATGAAACGTATAACTGGACTACCGGTACGATTCAACATTTTAGTAACTCGATCTACTGGCCACTATAGATAGCTGGAGTCAAATTTTTTTAAGTAGGCTATTTTTACTTCAGTCGCGCGACTGATTTGACGACCCCTAGATCCGCCCCTGATCCAAAGGAAACATACAAGATCGTCAATCAAATTTGAACGAACGGAAAGATAAAAGCGAACCCAAAGCGACAAAACAAAGGCAACCTAACATTGTAATCTTAGGGGATTCAATGTTAAAACATTTTAATCCCCGACGAATTCAGCAAGGAATTGACCAAAAGATATCAATAAAAACCTTTCCTGGAGCTGGTGTTGACGAAATGACCCACTATGTTAAACCGATGCTCCAAAAAAAACCAAAGCATATTATCCTGCACATAGGTACCAATGACCTGCAAACGAAATCGCCAGATGCGTTAATTAAAGCTGTAACAAAACTGGGAGAGGCTATAACGCAAGAAATAAGTGGTATTGAACTTACGCTGTCGGAAGTCATCACAAGAACCGACGATTTGCAACTTGCTGATAAGGTAAACATTTACAATAATAAATTAGACAATCTATGTACTGAACGCAATTGGGGATTTATTACACATAAAAGTATCACTAAGACTCATTTAAATAGCTATGGTTTGCACTTAAACCAAAGAGGAACAACTGCACTGGCAAGAAACATAAAACAGTTTTTAAAAAATCAATCCTTAAATTGAAATCGAGCCGCGGTCAAGAATACTGATAGTAATAAGCATACTGATCGATTAAAGGGATTCAAGATCGCTCATTTAAATGTACGAAGCTTAATCACGCATATCGATGAACTAAAGCTGTATCTTTATAAACAACAATTTGAAATAATTAGCGTTAACGAAACCATGCTTGACCTGTCTGTCTCAAATCAAGAGATCAAAATTAATGGTTATGATATTGTGAGAAAAGTATGGTGGCCCATAAGTGCCATAAGAGTTTCCAGTACTTTTTTAAAGATTCCTAGCTTTTTTTCACTCTATTTATCTATTTTTTTATTTCAATCTCTTTACTTTACATTATAATTATAAATCGTTTCATTTTATTCAGTATAAGCAAAATGAGTTTTATTTTCCAATAAAACGTTTCAAAATTTTGATTTGTTTTGTTTCAGTTTTGTTTTGTTTTGTTTTGTTTCAGTTTTGTTTGGTTTCAGTTTTGTTTTATATTGAAACAGTTCAGTTTTCAAAAAACTAAACCGAGTCCATGGCCTATGACTGCCATAACCCACAATCCCCTGCAAACATACCAAAAATATATTATACTACATGAAGTATTTCGTGACACAGACTGTTCTGGTTCTGACCACTGAGGTTCTGACTCAGCAAATTTGGATGCGACATATTGAAAAACGTAGATCACACGTGGGAGATTCCGATATTTAAAAAAAACCCGTTTTGAATGCTGCTCCCTCTGTGCCACAAAAAATAAATATGTCGAAACGAAACTGCAAGGAGAATTTCGCAAAATTCAAAGAAAGAATCTCTAAAAAGAGAAGAAAAGAAGACACAACTTCCAAATCGGATATGGACTATATTACAGTTCAAAGACTCTCCTCGCATGTCGAAGGAAGGTATCAAAAATATGCAAGGATTGGGCCTTTAGCAAGCGTTCCTCTCGGTCGAGAACCCACAATCCAGAATATTAAAGAGGCTTGCAAGCGCTACTTCGACGTGGAAGATGGATCTCACTGTGATATACTAGCTGGGAAGAGAGGACCATCTTGGACAGAAACGAGTCAGATAAATAACTGGAAGGTAATCCATATCCGTTTCATTGAGGGGAGTGATGAGTACCAATTGCGTGATGAAAAGCCGGTAGAGATCAGTTCCAGTCAACGGTGGAAATCACATGGGACCCCATAGAAAACAACCCCTTCAATGTCCACTAAAGTTGCAGCCTCTGTACCTCTGAGTGCTATGCTTAAACTTGGCAAAATAATTCAACCTACTGAGGAAATAGTTACAGTGCAGCTTGAAGAATTCAAGATAAATGAAAAAGCATGGGCTCAGCCGTTTGAAGCTACACTTTCTCTTTCCAAAGAAAAATTTGCAAGTGGCAGCGTCAGAAATGCATACATTGCCACCCCCCTGTCAGGCCTGAGTCCAGGAAAATATGTGTTAAAGAAGATCAAAGAGGAAAAGGTTGATGAAATTGAGAAGCTGTTTAAGTCAATTGAGGAGCACACAAGAAAAGCAGTGCAAATCAATGCACTAGTAAAAATTTTGCTATGACATTAGCCAGTGACGCCCTGTTGAATATGGTCGTGTTCTAAGTTACACAAAGGTTTACTTTGGAAGGCTTTATGGCGAGTTTGTAACATTGGAAAACTATCTAGAAGGAGAATTCCAAAAGTATGTGAACAATACTGGGGAGGTTTATGGAGAAAGTGAAGTAACCCATAAGGCAGAAGCATTCTGCCACTATACTTATGAAAGGTCAGAACACCAACTTATGGTTGTAGACATCCAGGGAGTAGATCATAATCTTTTCGACCCAGAAGTTGCCAGTTCAACTCTTTTTGATGCCAATGACAAGACAATATTCTTTTGTTGTGGCAACCTTTCCACAGATGCTATTGATATGTTTAAGGCAGTACATGTTTGCAACAAATTTTGCCATATGCTTAAGCTTAAAGAAATGTAGATAATATATAACCAGTTGGCAACATGATAAGGACATAAAAGAAAACAATGGTTCATAAGTTTTAATCTATATCTCTCACAGACTCTCAGGTTTATCATATTCATTCTATTTTGCCCCTTGAGCATGAAAAGTCAGTGCATATTTAGATGAAGGAAATTATTAATGCTTTCTATATTCAGTGCTCGACTATTAAACTGAGATGTGACATACATTGTGCATTGCTTACACAGAAAATAAATTATACCTGTGTACCAGTATTAAACCCATCTCTCAATTAAACCCCCTCCTAAAAAAACTCGTAAAAAAATAAGCACTACAGGGGCCTGATAGAGAGAATACAGAAATGGCTTCACCCAGAATGTCATAACCTTTTATAAATATGTTTAAGTTAAAATTGACATTTTAAAGTGTAGATGTGTACTGTTAAAGATACATATAGAGGCAATTTTGTGTGCAATAGTTGCACAAACTGTACCATGATTTAAAGAAATTGTATTATTCTGGTTCAGGTTGAGTTTAGAGTGCATGTAACATATGAAACTTTGCATTACTGTCGTTCCAATTGAAGTGTTGCTCAAATATTGATTCAATACATTACCTCGGGCTGACCAATTCATTTGATCAAGTTCCTCGAGATATTCATACACTTCCTAGTATAATTGTAAACTTCCTGTTGAATAGTTTGAATGCACCAATCACCTTTGTTGTTTGTGCAACTAACCAATCATAAATAGAAAGGAAGTGACCAGAAATGATCAAATACTTGGAATTGGCTCTTTCACAGGAAGTGTATGAATATCTCGAGGAACTTGATCAAATGAATTGGTCAGCCCGAGGTAATGTATTGAATCAATATTTGAGCAACACTTCACTTGGAACGACAGTAAATTGCACAAATTTATCATGAATATAATGAATGCACTTCTAGCAACTATACTGGCAACAACAAGTTGACAGGTTGTAAATATTGCGTTATGGTTTAAATTCATCTAATCTTTGCAATTCATTGTTGTTTACTTTATTTAAGTTCTGTTTGTAAGACAAATAGCATGTTGCTAAAATCAAAGAAGTCAATAAAATGAAATTATTTTTTGTCTTAAAAAACATCCTCATCAACATGTGCCTTTAAGTATAGGTAGGCGTCCTTAGCATCACTTGGCTTTATTTCATCCATTTTAGGCAAATGCTTCTCACATTCTTTACGAACAGCTGGTCTCAAGTAATCATCAGTATCTTCCATGATAACATTTGATAGCTCAGCAACCTCAAGCAGTTGTTCCTCTGTTATATCAATACCACACTGTTCGCCGCCATACTTCTCCGGAAAATGGAATATGTGCTCTGGAACTCCTGCTGGCAGCTCTTTTCCTTTTTGTGTACGTGTTCTGTGGTTGTTCCAAACACACTCCCGAAAAACATCTAGTTCCCTCTGAACAACTGGGATGTACACATAGGCTAATAGGTCTTTATAATAAATTAAACAAGGTCTGCTTTTTTGTTGCCAACTATACATGTACAAGTAGTATCAAATATGTAGTTGTCTAATATTTTCATTTTATACCAGGCCTGGAAATAGTGGTGGATCATAGGAAAGATGTTCCTAGAATATATTTTGATTGCTAGAAAGGATTTACAATTTGGTTTGGCAGAAAGTTTTGAAATTTCTTTAAACTGAGAATGTGGATATAATAAGTGATATCACCCGATGTACACAACTTGGTCTCAAAAAGTTTTTCTTTGATCAAACATAAAAATATTCCTTGAAATTTGTCTATGACACACAAACAGGGGCATGGGTGGACCCCCCCCCCCTAGTTGCCACCAGGGTGTGGGGGTGGACCCCCCAATAATTTTAAACATCAAACTGAGTTGGTCAAAATGTTTGTTATTGGTCAACGACTCAACATTGCAAATAAAAATCCCAGCGAAAAGTACATTGGTATTCTAAATCATATATGACATTCTGAAAATGCCATTTCCGACCATCCTTGGATAGCAAATTTTCAAAACATTTTGCCGATGCGAGTCTGCTATGCATAAAATGCATGCAATTATCATACCGGTCATTTTGATCGCTGGAATCATAATCTCCACTTTCAACTAAGGACTTGAGTTGTTCTTTAAAAAACCTCTCCATTCTTTCATCAAGCTCCCTCCACCATCTTTCGATCTTGTTTTGGGTGGAAGGTCCATAGAGTATAGCATCTAATGGATTATCCAAATCACCATTTCTTTCTCTTAGAAAGCAATGAATTGTCGCCATGACATCAGTTTCTGTTCCCCGGTCCACCCTCAATGTTTGTGGTAAAACTGAGCAAAATAGATAATACAGCATTTAAAATCTTATATAATAATTCATATTCTCATTTCAAGCTAGTAAGCTTCGAAAGAAAAATAACAAATAATGTGATAAAAAAACATTCAAAAGATCCTACCCCTAGACTCAAACAGGTATTCAAAGTAGAGCCTTCCTATTACCAAAGGGTTAGTGTTAGTGGTCCACACTCTAAGAAAATTCATCCTACCACTGTATGTATCCAGGCCACCATATATACTTAAAGGAAACATGGACTTCTGATAGCCACAAAGCTTATCATGACCATCCAGTGACATAGTACTGTTCAATCCCTGTTTAAATTCAATAAATTAAGACAACTTACAGCCATCAGTTTTTAGTTTTTAACTGAATAATATGGGAACACACCAAAAACATTAGTGCGTGTAATGAACTGAATCACTGAACCAACAAAAAGATAAACCTGAATTTTTGTATATTTTTACACTATATAATTTTAATAGTAGGTGAATGAGCCCACCCCTCTCAATTATCCAGGTCCCTCCTAAAAAAAACACCTACAATATCACACTCCTGGGGGTATTATAAAATCTCTGGCCCATTTGCCAAATACAAAACAATCAAATTAGCCCAGCCACTCAGGCCAAAATAAAGACATGATGTCAAATGCACTATTCGAATATAAAATTATTACTTACTCCACTCACGAACGCATTCGTTCTACGTGGACGTTTCGGTTTTCCCACTCCACCTCGGGATTTCAGTCCTTCTGGGTCTGCTTCTCCCATCACAGCGTATACTAAATCGCGCGACACATTGAGTCCATGTACTTCTCTTACTTTCTGCTGCATTGTTCGATAACCTAGAAGAACGCCTGGACCGTCAAACTCCTTTTTTACAGCTTTCTTAACGTCTTCCAATTCAATGCCATAGTCCGTGTATTTAATACCAAAATGTTGAAGCCTACGACTTAAACTGCGAATGCTCCATGCATACATGGGATAACCCGCAATCATAAAGTCTAATAGACTGCGAGCAATCCCTAATAAATAGAGGGATTGCCGCTTTACCTAATTGTCAAGCGTGTTTGATTAAGCTCCGCCTACTTGTTTATATTTCAAAACAGGGTCAAAAACATCTCTTGAAAGGCGCGGTCTCGAATGACTCAATTCGCTTAGGGCAAAACCATCAAACAACGTGTATATTCTCAAATTTCAGTTTGGCAAGTATGAATATTCATAATCAGAATTTGTCTGGCAGGGTTTATTGAAGGGTCTATTCTATAGACTGTGACTTTCTGCGTCAATATTTTGACATAGTTTAATAGTTTACAGTAATAAAAAATTACCAACTTAATACATGCAGCTATTAAGCTGAATTACATGGTTAAGGTTTACAAGAAGTGTTATAATTTATATAAACTAAACCTCTATGCCTCTATGTTTACAAAGCTTAAAATTTAAACTTGAAAACATGCAAATGTATACGAATGCTATAAAAACTATGAACTATGAATTAAAACGTTTAGAACTTGCGATTATAAATGTGTTCATTTATCTATTAGTCTTAATTATTGGAAAGTCAAAGGTTCTCTTTGTCCTCAGGGATTAATGTGCAGTATTTGAGTTCAAATCCGGCAATAGTGCCGCGAAGTTTGTGATTTGGATCTTCAATGATTTCTGTATCCGTTCAATGTCTTTACTCAGGTAATTTGGGATTCCGTAATGAAAAACGGGATTCTACTATCTAGGTCGGATGCAAGTACAATAAAAACAAATCATCTCAGCAGCAGGTACATTCGCACGTTTTAACTGACGTAAAAAATACAATCTTTTAGAGGCTTTCTTAATTAATGATACATTGGTACTGTCAATATGACTATTCCATTTACTGTAAGATCAAAACAATACATACAATATACAATATACGATACATACATACATATTTACAAAGACATACTGTACAATATTATAATAAACCCAAACTACATAAACTCACCAAGTCACCATGTATTAATTAGCCTAACTGTGTGGCATTCATCAACGACTATGAGGGACAGTTCGTTTCTGAATGGCGAGCTTTTATTCTTCAACTGAGTTCAACAAGGCAACAAATTCAGGAGACAAAGGCTCAAAGCTTCATCAGCCGCGCAGACGCATACACAAATATCTAAAAATTGGTTTCCTTGATCCCACTATAAGAACGGCCGAGTTAATATTTCCAAAAGCGATCATCCTTAATGCAAAGTCGTTGGACCGTAACTGTTCATCAATAATGCTACGAAGAGGAACAATTCAGGGGCGGATCTAGGATTTTTCGTACCTCAGTCAAAAATTTTTGGCGGACGGGGCGTTGTCAGCGCTGGGCGTGGCCTCGACTGGGCGTGAAAAACGTATTAGATTAAATTTAAATTGATAAACTCAAACGAACATTTGATTCTTATCCATTGTAAGAAAAACTACAAATGCACAAAGATATATTGATCCTATTCCAATACAAAATTTTATGGATATATTACTATGATATAATACATTAAAACTCAGCAGCAATTTAATAACATATTTGCCTGTGGATTAATCAATCGTCGTCATATTGGTACTATATACCTATAAGTGTATCATTGTAAAACTTGTAAAATCATATGGCAGCAAATGCATTAAGGAAATATACTGTTCTGTTACCAAAAATGGCGAACTATACAAATAATTGATAGTAGCCTCAGATCCAAAAAAACAACCAGATATTCATTAACTAAGTCAAACACTATTACATTAACAAGATATAAAGATGTTATGTCAAATATTAATAAACTAGTTACATGAGAATGGCTACCAGTCAATGAGCTTTTCAAGCTAGCTTGTTAAATATTTCACATCGTCATGTTACACCAGACCAATGCGGTCGTCTAACAAGCCATGTCGATAGGCTATGGACAAACAATATTCTATAAGTCCGACATGTTGTGTGATCGATGCATAAATATAAATAAATCTTAAATAAAACTTCACTATAAACATGAGAATCAACAATTGCTTACAATGTGGACATTGAATATTACATATTTTAGCTTCTTGACGCGAGAATTATGCTAATACAGCATAGCGAATATTAAAATATCATATGTCAAACAATCATTAACAACACCGACGGCTTTGGTTCTCCAATTAAAACTAAAGATACATAATTATAAAACCATAAATTTCTCTACCTTATTGCAGTGCAAGCTTTGTCTTTCTTATCTCGAACATACTTCGGAATGTAGCTCTCTGCGCCAAAATTTCTAGCGAGGCTTCTGCTTGTGTTGTTGATGGCGCTCACTTCGCCGTTCAGTAGCTCGTCAACAGAATTCGTCCGTGAAGCATCGATATTCTTCTCAAGCTCCGTATACAAACGTTGTAGAGATTCTAAATCGTTTGCCGCAATCGCAAACTGAACATTGTCGAAAATGTTTCCAGATATCGCTGGTAGAGATCGCTCGTAAAAATAGTAAAATTTCTCACATGCCAGACGTTCGAAATAGTATAAAACATTCAGGAGGTATAAAACATCAAATGCCGTGTTGACGAATACCCCACGCTGCGAATCCGTCGAAAATTTAAGCCAATGACAGTGCAGAATTTTTTTAAATGGTTCAATCAGAAGACTCATACAGAGCCCCTGAATCTGCAAATCCGTCAGGCCTCCCCACAGATCCGTCGCAAATGGCCGTAACCATGGAAATGAGCACGTCAGCCAATCAGATAGCCGGATTCAACCCCCGAATCCGTCAACATTCATTGGTAAGACCGCTGTTCGTGACTGACTAACATTACTTTGCCAAAGCTCTGCCGCAGCATGAAACGTATAACTGGACTACGATTCAAAATTTTATTAACTCGATCTACTGGCCGCTATAGATAGCTGGAGTCGAATTTTTTTAAGTGGGCAATTTTTACTTCAGTCGCGCGACTGATTTGACGACCCCTAGATCCGCCCCTGGAACAATTTAAATACTAGAATACTAGTTGGGCTTTAACAAACCCTTCGAATATATCTTCAGCCAACAGGAAACTCTTTCCAAATCCCGTACGGCCGTAGGAAGGACAGCTAGAACATCTCTACCTTCAAGTAGGCACTCTATTGCAAGCGTTTGTTCCTGTAAGCTTGTTGTAAGACTTTCAACTACATACGTATCAATTTTCGTTGCTTCCCGCTGCCAGATAGATATTAATTTCGGCAAATGTCTGTTTACAGTATAAAGCCAGCTGAGTGATGGGTTTTAATGTTATCAGAATATTTATTGTTTTTTAACCAATCAGAATTTCCCGTTGTCTGTGCAACGGGAAAATCAAACACGCTTGACAATTAGTTAAAGCGGCAATCCCTCTATTTTTCCTCTTGTCTCCGCCCCTTTTTGCCATTTTCCCGCGCGTTCAATCTTAGTCCGGGAAACAATAAAACGAAGGAAAATAGAGGGATTGCTCGCAGTCTAAAAGTCTAAGATCTCTTCTCGTCTCAAATTTCGCTGTACATATTTTTCAAGGTCTTGTCTCATCTCTTCATCATTTTCCCAATCGGAGTTCCTAATGCGTTCCGCCATATTTACATATTTACCAAAAAATACCACACAATACTTCATGTAGTATAATATATTTGGTATATATTTGGTATGTTTGCAAGGGATTGTGGGTTATGGCAGTCATAGGCCATGGACTCGGTTTAGTTTTTTGAAAACTGAACTGTTTCAATATAAAACAAAACTGAAACAAAACAAAACAAAACTGAAACAAAACAAAACAAAACTGAAAGAAAACAAATCAAAATTTTGAAACGTTTTATTGGAAAATAAAACTCATTTTGCTTATACTGAATAAAATAAAACGATTTATAATTATAATGTAAAGTAAAGAGATTGAAATAAAAAAAATAGATAAATAGAGTGAAAAAAAGCTAGGAATCTTTAAAAAAGTACTGGAAACTCTTATGGCACTCATAGGCCACCATAGAAAAGACAGGAATAGGCATGGTGGTGGAGTCGCAATATACATAAGAACCTCAATAAACTTCATAATAAGAGACGATTTAACTGACGATAATCTCGAAACAATTACACTTGAAATTTCAAAACCAAAATCCAAACCATTCTTAATTAATAGTTGGTATAAACCACCCAATACAACACTTGAAATATTCAATGCATTCGAGGATTTAATTACTCGAATGGACTCTGAAAACAAGGAAATAATTTTACTTGGAGATTATAACTGCGATTGGTCTCGCTTGGATAGTAACAGCGCTAACGCTCAGACAAACAAGCTTGCTGGAATTGCACAGACATTCCAATTTCAACAATTAATTAGTGAGCCAACGCGAATTACAGCTAATAGTAAAACCTTAATAGATCTAGCATTCACCAATAAACCGGAATTGATAAATCGGGCTCGAGTGTCATTCATCTGGGGATAAGTGATCACAGCTTAATCTATATACAGAGAAAAATTTCCGTTCCCCGTAAAGAGCCAAAAGTGATTAAATCAAGAAATTTCAAACACTACAACTCGAACAACTTTAAATCAGACCTTTGCACATACTTATATGATCAAGTATTCTGTGATACAATGCTTGATCCAAATATTATGTGGGAAAATTGGAAAACAATATTTCTGTCGGTTGCAGATTTTCATGCACCAGAAAGAACAAAAAAAGTTAGAAGCGAGTACGCGCCATGGATTACAGAAAATATTAAACAAACTATGCGTCGAAGAGACTTTTTAAAGAAAAAAGCAGTTAAGACAGGATCAAAACATTTCCATGATGCTTATAAACGCACACGAAATGATTTGAATAGATTAATTAAGAATACAAAAGCAATTTACTTTACAAATACTTTAAATGACTGTGATAACAACACAAAGAAAATTTGGAAAACAATTAATAAACTTACAAACAAACAGTCAAAAACAACTGTTATATCTGAAATCCAGAACGATAATCAAAATTTGACTAAAAAACATGAAATTGCAGATGCTTTAAATTCACATTTCAACGAAGTTGCATCTCGTTTGGTTAATAACATGCCACAGAGCTCAAGGACATTTGAGTCATACGTGACTAGGTCCGATACACAATTTACGATACAAAATGTTTCATTAACTAAGGTATATAAGTTGCTCTCTACAATTAAAACATCTAAATCAGTAGGGCATGATAGAATACCCGGTAAACTTCTAAGAGACGCTGCTGAGGTAATAGCACCATCCCTGTCAGCAATCTTTAACGCATCTATAAACACTGGTATATTTCCTGAAGACTTCAAGATTGCTATCATTTCTCCAATTCATAAGGCTGGAAGCAAAACTAATTGCGATAATTATAGACCAATCTCGATTCTATCCTCAGTTGCTAAAATATATGAGAAATTAGTTACAGAGCAACTAGAAATTTATCTTGAAACTAATCACATTCTTGCAGAACAACAAGCAGGATTTAGGAAAAATCACTCTACACAAACTTCTCTACTTAACATCACGAACCAATGGCTAATCAATATGGATAAGGGTTTGTTAAATGGAGTGATTTTTTTGGATCTCAAGAAAGCGTTTGACTGTGTTGATCATAATATATTGTTAAAAAAATGCATTGTTATGGAATAAGAGGTCATACGCTTGCTTGGTTCCAGTCCTATCTTTCTAGTAGGATTCAAATATGTAAGGTAGATCAAACAATGTCCAAGACAAGAACAGTTAAATGTGGAATACCCCAAGGTTCTAATCTTGGGCCACTTCTTTTCTTATTATATATAAACGACCTGCCAAACTGCCTGACCTCATCTTCAGCAAGCATGTTTGCCGATGACACAAATGTTTCAACCAATGGCAAAACAAATGACGAACTACAAGAACGCATTAACGTGGACTTAGAAAATATACACCAATGGTTACTTGCAAACAAACTTACACTTAACAAAGATAAAACTGAATACATGATTATTGGTTCAAGACAACGAATTTCAAACTTAGTACTAACGGACCCTAAAATTGAGCTTATTTGGTGAATCAGTCATTAAACGGGTTCACAAATCAAAAACTTTGGGCGTAATTATTGATGAACATCTTTTATGGAATCATCAAATCCAAAATATTGTCACAAAAGCTTCAAAAGGAATAGGAATGATGCGACGAATAAAACAGTTTGTTCCCAAATCAACCTTAGTAAAAATATATAATGCCATTGTGCTATCACATTTTGATTATTGTAGCTTGGTTTGGGATAACTGTTGTGATTACTTAAAAAACAGACTTCAGAAATTACAAAACAGAGCGGCTCGAATCATCACTGGTAAAACTTATGAAGTTAGTTCTGAGGATGTTTTAAAAGAATTAGACTGGCAACCTTTAAACCAACGCTATAATAAACCAATAAATCGATTTTTATGCACAGAATACGAAACGAAAAAATGCCATCATCAATTTGCAACATGTTCAAAATTAAAATAAATGACAGATATGATTTAAGAAGTAACAATAACAACTATGATCTTGGAAAACCTGAAACAAATTTTATGAAAAAGAGCTTCAGTTATTCAGCTGCATCCCTTTAGAATGACTTATCAACTACAGCAAAAGAAAAAGGCATTAGCCTTAACAAATTTAAACGTATTCTTGACGGCACTTGATTCCTTTTGGTAACTTTGTAAATATTTAAATAGGATAGGATATTTTTAGATACAAATGTAGTGCATGCAATTATTAAGTTCGTTATGTTTTCTCTGTTTTTGTGTGTATATTTGTGTTATTATATTGATATAGCTTGTAAATACTGTAATAAACGGCCTCTTGAAAAACAGGTGCCTACGGGCCCTGAAGAGCTACCGTTTTAAAATATTTTTAAATAATAATAAAAAATAATAATAATAATAATAATTTATGATAAAATTTCGGCAGGATTTTACGGAGTACAAATCCTCCGAAAAGCCTATGAAAACGTTACATTTTTCTCGGTTGGTGCTGTTCTTGCTTCATTATGAATTCATTTTTACTCCCATGAGAGTTCCGTGAAATTTCCATGGAATTTGTGGTTTCGAGTTGTTTGTGCTGATACGATTCTCTCGTATAATACGCCGTACACTTTGAAATGGCGATGCCACAATTTACCCCGCAGCAGAGAGCTTTTATGCATGGTATCAGAGTTCCTCCGTAGCAACAACGTAAACTTGGTTCGCCAAAGTTTCACGAACGAATATCCAGATGTACGATGCCCTTCACGTATTCGCACTTTATCATTATAGTTTGTTAAGCAATTATGCATACATTATCAGAACGCGGCATCGCTCGTTTCTGTTGTAACATCTGTGCAATTTGAATAATTATGTGAAGAAAAATTATGTTACATATATCATGGCTTGCATTGCGGAAAACAAACATATTATTGCAAATGAAAGTTTTGAATCCGTCAGCCCAAGATCTTCGTTGGTGTTCGCACTGATGATCGACTTACGAATCGAAAACTTTGCCATAATAAGCAAATAAGAAATACACGTGATG